GTTACAGAGGGGCGCCAGAGGAGGGTCCCCATCGTCCCCCAGGTCTGCCCCCTTCTTTAGCCCTTCCCCAAGGGTCTCCGCAGAGACCACCAGACACTTCTGGAGCCTTGGGTGGCTGCCTGTGGCTCTGACCCGGAGCATGGAGGCTGCTGGAGGAAGGACGCTGACAGCGTGCAAAGCCCCCCCGTGGAGACGACGGAGCGTTTCAGAATGCCAGTCTTTCTGCAGAGTGGGAGCAATTTCCCTGTAATTGGTAAAGTAACCGTAACTGCTCTGTCATCTGTATGTGGCGACACGTAATTGCACAGTAGCCTTTGCCGCTGTGTGCGAGGGAAGCACGGTGAGCTACTAGATTGTAATTCGGAGTGTCAGCTCTGGCTCCCCAAGCCACCCCCACCCGTGCCCGCAGGGAGGCCCGGGGGAGGCTGCCATGGGCCTCTCCGCGTCCTGGTCTGGTGGGTCCTGCTCCATGCCACATGCCATTCTCTCCTTGGCATGGTCTGCGTGCCCTCAGCTAGGAAGAGACCTCCACAGAGATGCAGACCAGTGCTTCTCAAACGTTAGCATGCGGCAGACTCACTGGGAGGGTAGTGGGGTGCAGACCTCTCAGGCCCACTCCAGGGTTTCTGAGCCAGTAGGTCTGAGGGGGGCCCGAGACTTTGAATTTCTAATGAACAGTGCTAAATCTTCTGCATCTTAGCCCCTCCCTCTGCTCTGTCCCGAAGCCTCGTTGATCTGATAGATCTTTAGGAAGTACGACCTTTGCTATTTCATCTTGATAACATTGGCTCCTTTCATCTCAATAACGCCTCTGTGGGGTAGATACCATGAATGTCCCCAAGGAGGCTGAGACTCATCAAGGTTGTCTGAACTGTCTAAGACGACAAATAACAGTAAGTGTTAGCATTCCCATAGCGCTCGTGAAGTGCCAGACATTGTTCTACATGTGCTAAATCATTTAGTCCTCACAACAGTATATGCTGTTATTACTGTCCCCATTCTACGCATGAGAAACGGAGGCCCAGGTTGCTTACGTAACTTGCCCACGGTCACACAGCATTAAGTAGCAAAAACCTAGGCATTTTGGCTTTAATTCCCAAGTGTTAGCCACTGTGAAAATTAGGCTTTCATTTAGTTACCCATCCATCCATCCATTCATCCATCCTTCCATTTAACACGTCTTAACCTACTATGAACCTGAAACTAAACTGAGGGTACAAAGATGCGTAAAACATGGTCCCATCCTTGAGCTCATGGTCCCTGGAATCCAGTGGGTCACCAGTCTTAATTTATAGCTCATGTATCTCATGATGACGCTTGTGGAAAGCAGATTTGGTTTCCTGATTGGGGCAGAGGGGACCCTGGGAGGTGTGGCCCTAAGACTTCAGTACCTGTTCATAGGGTCACCCAAGTAGGCACCACGTACATTCCCATGCAACAGACCTTGTTTCTTTTCCTTGTAAGAAGGAAGTTGCTCTTGAATAAACTAACATTATAACGGTGGCCACAGCTCACTCGTGGGTATTTGTGGCGTGGTGGGAGGAGGGGGTGTGACATGGGCCTGCAGGCGACACTGGGCTCCTGATTATAGCTGAGGTGAGTCCCCTCCTGACTCCTCTGGCTGCTGCTCTAATCTTGCTGTTAATGGGGCCCAAGGGAGGGCTCAGCCAGGGCAAGAACAGACACCGTCCTCCCCCGCTGCCCAGGGTGCTCAGGAATCCACGCCAGCCCTCACTTGTTGAAGGCTTTCTCCAATTAGTCTTCCCTTCTGGGGCCCACATGGCCCTGGCCTCTGCTCCCTGCACCTTGGCCCCCTCAGGTCTGTGGGCCCCGTGGGAACGGCCTTCTCCTTCCAGGGCTGTAACTTCCCTGTGGCCGCAGCTCCGACTTGGCAGCCTGTGTCCATGGAGAGCTCTGGTCAGGAGGCATCGGGGGCCAATCAGCGCCATCCCACCCCGGGTTTGAGCAGGATTTCCACTGGAAAAGAAATTAACGTGAAACATCACCTTGCATTGATGACAAGCTTTCCTGTTTATCAGGTGCCTTCACACCTGTTTTCTCACCCAGACCTCACGAGGGTCCTGTCTCACAATTTCATAGACAAGGAGAATGAGAATCAGAGCAGGAGAGCTTGTGCCGTGCTTCTCGGTTAAGAAGCTGCTGAGCTGCTCTGTGACCTGAGACCTGAGTGCTCTCCGCTACATCAGTGTCAAACATCCCTCCCCATCGCTCCAGCTTTGAGGACACAGAATAGGCCACCTCGTGCCCCAGCTGGGGGCCCTCAGCATCCATGCAGATCTGGGCTGCGCCTGCTCCAAGGCCTCAGTCACCTCTCTGCCCCCTGGCACGGGAGCCTGGGGAGAAAGCCATCACTGTCCCTGGAATGCAGTCACCACAGTTAGGGGCCCCAGCTGCAGTCTTGAACCTGGCGACCACACCAGGAGGTAGGGGTGGGGAGGGGATGGCTGTCAGCTGGCCACAGGCGAGGAGGCCGAAGCCTGGCTTCTGACGGGGCCTCGAAGGGAGCTGTTAGGAGCTGAAGCCGGCAGAGCCCTGGCTGCCGGGCTGCCGGGCTGAGCTGTCCTCACTTCCTTCCGGTGAAAACATCCCTCGTCCGGCCCCTTGCCATGCATGGTGCCACGGCAGCAGGAACTCACAGGTCCCCGGCTTGCTACTCTGAGCAACCAGTGACTCGGTGATGCCGCTGCTCAAGTGCACACGGTCGCCTCGCTCATGTTCCGCCAGCCAAGGGGAAGACTGGTTTTCAGTAACTGACTGCTCACATAAGCAGTTCTGGGCCGGTGAGGCATGCGTTTGTGCCAGGGGTGGTGGGAGACGGTGAAACATGGACTGCTTTGCTCCCTGACTCAGTTTCCCCCTGTGCAGAGTGGACAGTCAGTCGTTCCGCCTCATTTAGAAAAAGGGTCATAATGGGCCAGGCACATTTGCTGATGGCAGAGGTCCCTGCAGCACGGTTCAGGGCTGAGAAAGTCAGGGACAGGTCCTGCTTATGAACCAGAGGCAGGAACATGCAAGGCCGTGAGGGTCCCAGCCTGCCCTAGGCTGCCCTCGCAATGCCTGGCGGGTCACGGCGGTTATGTCCAGCAGGGAGAGGCCGCGGTGTTCCCTCTGCCCGGATTTTCCTTCCTCTTTGCTGTCTATCTCTTTCACTCCCACCACCTTCTCATCCCCCTGTCCTCATTTTAGGGGAGAACCATAAAGATCAGACTAGACCTTGAAAGTTCCCTCCTAACTTTGATTCCTATAGTTGTGGTTGTTATTATTTTGGAGGGGGAAGGGGTTGTGTTTGGTCTGAGGCTGTTGGACCTGATGGTGCAAGAGAGTGGTCTTGGAGTAGAGGCCTGCACTGCACGCAGCCTGCCCAGGCTGCCCAGCCTCTCCCGACCCCGGTCTGACTGTCCCCCCGTGCTAAGGAGAAGGGGGGAGGTCAGACGAGGATTGGGATGCTCAGCACGTTGTCTTCCCCGAGATGGACAGTGCCTCTCCCCCTTCTTCTGGGAGGACGCCGAGGGGCTGGGAAGCCCTGAACAGCTCCGAGCTGGCCACTTCCACTCAGCTCCCTGGCAAGAGCCTGCCTGCTGGTTCTCCACAGGCCTTTTCTTTCGGCTGGACTGAAGCCTTTAAAAAATGACACCTTGTATTTTATTTTACTCCCCTTTCTGAAAAGTCCAAAGACGTTTACAGGCATGAGCTCCGTAGGTTTTATGGAAGCTCATCAAAAAGCAGGGGTTGTTGCCTTTATCTTTATAGAGTGGAAAATAAAAGTACAGAATATGGAATACCTCTTCTAAGACCACACAGTTCTTCCAAGAGAGAGGGGCAATCCAGTGCAGGTTCCTGGAGCCCGGGAGAGCCTATGGCAAAGCCCGGGTGCTCGGTGGGAGCACTCGGGGTCCTCACGGCCGTAGGTCCAAACCCAGCCCCGAGCCTCTGCCCACGTGGGGGTCTGGAGGCCCGGACCGAAACGGAGAAATTCAGCTGAAACACTAAGAAGGAAACCAGCCCGAGACCTCTTCCTGTTGGTCCCCTGCCCCCTGAAATTGCCCTGGAGTATGGAGCAGGAGTTGGGTCAGCGTGCACCACAGAATATCCGGGGAATATCCTCTTTAAGGAATGCTCATCGGTGTTCTTGTCTAAAACGGTTTAGGGAATAACATGTTTGGGAAAGGCTTCGATCATATTACACATATTTCTTCCTAAAAAGACTTCATACCTCTCCTGAAACTAATCACTGTGAATATGGTTTCAGAATGTACTATGTTTCTCAAAATTATTTGCCCAAGGAACCCTTTTATGGTAGAGCATCTCGTAGAGCATCTTGGGGGGCTTGGGTTCCACAGAAGACGCTTTGGGAAATGCTGGGGTAGGCTGCCCTGCCCTGCTAGAAGCAGGGGCCTGAGACGGCAGCGTGGGGCCCACAGGGGCTGGTTGAGTTCATTCCCAGACCTTCCTTTCCTCCCATCCCCCTCCTGAACTGACTGTGCTGCCTCTATCGTGGTCTTGCCATTCGTGTCTGGTGGCTCTGGTCTCCATTCCACACTGCGAGCCCTCGTCTGTGAGGGCTCTTCAACTGTGGACGGGAGCCACGTCCCCCTGACGCCTGCGCAGAGCCGACTGGAGCCCTGCTTGTGGGCGCTGACCCCGTGCTGTCCGCCGTGATGGCCGTGAGGGGGCCTGAGCTCCAAGGTGGCCCTGGGGTGATGGGAGGAGGGGCAGAGGCCATGGGCGTGGGGTGAAGAGACTCTAGGAATTTGTGGATATTTTTAGTGGGTTTTTTTTTTTTTTTTTTTGCAATGGTCCTGTAACCTACCTAGATGACTATTGACAGGTCATCTAGTTTCCCTGGAGGAGGGGTTCACGTGAAAAAGAGGGATTTAGACCATCTCTAAGGATTCGTCTAGCTCTGCAGTTCCCTGACTCAGTGCCTCTGCCAACCACCCTGATGCTCCCCCCTAATTTTTCTGCTTTTCCATTTGCAGCTCCTAACGATTGATGATAACTTCTGTGGCCTGGACATGAACGCACCCCTGGGCGTGTCGGAGATGATCCGCGGCATTCCTGTCTTCACGGAGGACAGGGACCGCATGACTTCTGTCATTGCTTATGTCTACAAGAACCACTCTCTGGCCTTCGTGGGCACCAAAAGTGGCAAGCTGAAAAAGGTAGGACCGAGGTGCCTTCGTTTTGGCGATGGTGATGACAGCCTGTCCCCACGGGGGCAGGCATCGTCTCATGCTCTTTCGCTGCCTTGGGCCGGGTTGGCGAGCCGAACACGTTGGAGCTAGAGAGAGATGTTGCTGCTGAGGTTGTGAATGGTGGTCTCATCTCTTCTCTGCCTTTGCGCTAGGGTTGTCGTGGGACTCACGCCGGGGGAGCGTGGACTCACCTTCTCCCACCCCAGCCTCACGAGTGGTTCTAAGTGGTGTGCTTTCCTCAGCTTGGGCTGTGCCTGAGGCAAGGGCTTTCTTAGGCCTGGGCAGGTGCACAAGGCCAGGGATGTGGCTGCTCCTCTTGCTCTGCCCTTCGGGCTTGTACCTCCATCTGGAATCCACGCCGGGAACTGCAGGCGCGCAGGACCTGCTGGAACTGCTCTTGGGGCTAAGAGTCAAGTCGTGGGGCAAGGAAACCTTGGATGTCATGGTGTACATAGCAGGTGCTCAAGGCCGAGGAGCACGGTGTGATCTGGGGACGTGCGCTTTCCTCCTTTTTCAGAGGCTTGTCGGCTTCAGGGACACTGGGTGACATTGGCCCATCAGCAGTGGTGGGGGCGCCTGTCCATCCGGGACTGTTCTCCACCCAGCCTGCTCAGGTTTCTCCTCTCAAGGAGCTGCAGCTGGCTCCGTAGGGTGCCCTGCTTGCTGGGATCGAAAGGCTTTCTAAGACTGGGCAGTAGGTCCTGCTTCGTGTCGGCGGATGACGCGCTTCGTCTTGTCCCAGGGACGTATTGGCAACTCCATGTGGAGCTCCTGTTTGCCGTCTCTTGATTTCCACTGGAATTCTCTGGACATTGTATGACTCAGACTGATAAAGCCAGCACTACTGATCTGAGGGAGCCTTGATCCCTGCCTCCTTGTTGCTGTGTTTCCGGGCACTAGCTCCAGATGGTCAAGGGGAAATATCCTCTGCGCATCTAGGAGACGGTGCCTGCTCCCCCATCCCTCTGTGTAACAGCCGGTGCCAACAACTGTCTCTTTCTTTAAACCGAAGTCTCCGAGGAGCAGGCAGTGGCTCTGGGGTACAGTGTGGAGGTGAGAGGGGGAGCAGAGAGCGCGTGAGTTGGGGGATGTGTGGAGTAGTCATGGGGCTCATATCTGGGGGGGAAACGGTGTTGGTGAAACACCACGGTGCTCTGCCAAGAGGGTGCAGGCAAAGCACCCCACACCCAGTGTTGCCCCTGAAGAGGCAACGCATAGTAGGTGCCAAGTTAACAGACACCTTCACCACCGTCAGTATAGCTTTAAGAACTACACTGTGTAGCTCCCCGCCGGTCTGTGGAGTGCATGAAACACAATGGAACGTTCCCTCGTTGCGTTGGCCTTTTTGTTGTTGATGACTCATGTATCCAGCTGCCTTTCGTGGAGGCCCAGGGAGGATGCTACACGGCGTGGGGGTGTTGGCCCCGCACCACTCCTGCGTCCGCTGCCGCTTCTGGATCTCCCCCTAATGCACGTGTCACCGGTCACTTCCGCGGGCTGTCCGGGCCCTGGTGACCGCGGCGCCTTTCCTCCTCCTCTCGGTGAGCTCGGAGGGCAGGTGCCCAGACTCGCTGAAGGGGTGTCTGAGTCCCCGCGTGAACCGAGGAGGTGTGCGCACGAGCTCCGGGCCAGGGACCTTGAGCCTTTCCGCTGGTTGCTCAGACGGCTTGGCTCTGCACCATGACTCGGGGAGTTCGGTTTGCGGGAAAAGTGAATTCCGAGTGCCCGAGGCATGCCCACATGCGGTTTATATGCCGAATCCGTGCGTTCGGCCTGCTTCGCCTGGCGGAGGGGTGAAGGAGCGGCCTTGAGCAGAAACGAGCAAGGCAGTTCGGGGTGCTTAGCTCCTCTCTCTGGTGAGCCCAAGGTCAGTGCAATGGAGACGTGACTTACCCCAAGGCACCCGAAGATCCCCACGTCCCAAATTTCCTGCCAGGTGCCAGAGGGTCACGTACTTGCTGGAGGCCGAGTAGACCTGGTACAAGGAACTTTGTGTGTGCTGGTGTCTGAGCTGCTTGGAATGTGGTGTCACTGACATGAGCGCCGAGAGCTCGGTGCTCACAACAGAACAGGCAGTTGCCGTCTCTCGGGCGGGGGTGGGGGGAAGACATGATTCCCGGCTGTGGCTGCACCCTGAATCCAACACAGTCAATTTGCAAGTGTGTGCTATTGGTCACGGGGTGGGCCGAGGCCGACGGGGGCTGACTGTCTCTCACCTGTGGGAGCTGTCCCTGGAGGTCAGAGTGGAGCACATTGCCATGACTATAGGATGGCGACACCCCCAGAGCCCGGGCAAGCAAAGTGCACGGAGATGACCCTCATGGGGCAGGCTGGGGCAGGGGTCAGCCAAGCCAGCAATGACAGGCATCACCCGACCAGCAGGCTCCATAAACTGTGGCTGGCAGTTCCCACTTCTGTTTTGGGGAGGGGCTTATGTAAGAACAGTTTCAGCCACCTGGGGGATTAGATTTAATGTCCAGAGCAGTGGCGGGACGGGTGAAGCATAAACCGTGGAGGGATAAGAGCAGAGGGCTGTGGGGGGGACGAGCCGGCGCCCTCGTGGGGAAAGCCAGGCCGCCGGAGCCCCCAAAGCGGCAGCCCTTTCGCAGCTTGGAGCCCAGCCACGGCTGCTGCAGAGCCCGCCGGGGCACAGTCTGAGTTGGGATAGGAAGGCTGGCCCGCCAAGTCTGCTGTTTGAAATAATAAAAAGCAAAAGTGGACCATTTATTTATTTTTCCTAAACAATAGAATTTCCCACCACCCTTGCTCAGGACACACCACTCCCCTTTCCTTATAATAACTCTGTCTTGCTTTTCCCAGAGGTTATCAGGACCACAGTCACCTCTTGGGCCGAGGCCCAGCCATGAAAAGCTTTGGGACTGCAGGAGGGTTTTGCAGGAAGTTTTATGAGCTACTGAAAGCAGACGGTGAGAAGAATGGAAATCATACTGCAGCCGTAATTACAGAGTTGGCTTCTCTGAGCCCTGTAATAATCTCCTGTGTACAAGGGCCTTGCAGCGTTCTTTGCAGTATGACAAGGGACGTGTGGGGAGGGTGGGTGGAAGGCGCTTGGGGGTTTGCTGAGAGGAGGGGAGTTTGCTGTGGGTTTCCAGGGTCCAGGAGCTAGACTGCAGCTGTCCACGGGCTACCTGCAAAATGACTGATTGGTGTTTTGTTTGAAAGATGTGGGTCCCCATCATGTGCAACCTTGCCTCTGATGGCCATAATTCCCCTCCTTCACTGCACACATCACACGAGGCAGGGGGAAAGGAGGTGACGAGAGTGCCACTTTGGACGTCTTTTATGTCTTCTGATGGTGTGTGTTACGGCTGGGATGGGCAGCCTTTCCCATGGTGTGTGTTAAAGGCATGTTCCGTTAAGAAATACGGCACATAAATGCCACAGTCATCAGGAGGTGCCGGGGAACTGAGAAGTGGCCACCAGACCGTTACAATTCCAATGACAGGTGAAAGTCTTCAGACAAACACCGTCCCGAGGTGCTTTAGGGTGTCTATAAATCTGAAAACCCTGGACCCCAGCTGGGGTAACGAGGTCAGGGCTGCCTCTGAAGGGTACGATCTCTTTGTTGAAGAATTTCGGCCAGAACCCGCCCCTTCCTCTTTCTCTGCTTTTTGCTTCCCTTCCCCTAAGTGATCACACTTTACGGCCTCTGTGTAGCAGTGAGTTATTGCCTGACATTAGTGGGAGAGACTCATGATCGTGGGGAACCAAAGCATCATAAACTTCCACTCGAGGTGTGATTGCTCCTTTCACTTTGTGATTGCATCTTCCCTGGGTGTTTTGCAAGGTAAACTGTTCACAGCCACGGGGCTGAGCACTCTGTGGGTGTTGGTTAAGCAGAGTCTGGCCAGCCCTGCTGCTGGCTTCTGGAAGTGTATGTGCGGTGAGCATGTGCGTGTGTGTCCTGCTGATCAAGAGCAGTGTCTGATCGGAGACCGGCAGCTCCTGCTTTGCATCTTCCTCAATGCACCTGAGACTTTTCTGATTATTCACCTGGAAATTTGGAGGAATTTTAACTGAAAAGGAGGTCGTGCCAGGGAGAGGGCTCCCGGTGTCCGGAGGCCTCACGCAGTCTCGGGGGGACACGTGCTGGACTCCAGCTCGCCGGGAGCCCTGGGATTAGAGCAGAGGTCAGGTGTTTGGTGCAGGGTTTGGTCGGTTCGCTCTGTTGCGTTAGGAGTCCTCCAACCAGAGCTGGGAGCCAGTGTGCGTGTGGTTTGAGACCCAGGAAGGCAGGAAAAGACCTGGGCAAGTCAGTGCTGGACGGTTTTCATGATGGAAAAAGACCCGCATAGCACTTTGGTTTGGTCATCTTTGCCATGTCATTTCTGCATTTCCCACCTCTGGTTTTGCAAGTGTGAAGCCTGTTTAGACCTTAACCTGTGGATGAAGTGAGGGGAGGCTCAGGTTGAGGTGCTGCGGACAGAAGAGCACCGTGGACGTCCCCAGGTGCTGTCCTTCCTCGCTGACCTCACATCCAAGCAGGGACAGGGGATGGCTGCTGTGTCATTAGTCCTGTGAGCCTGGCATCCTGGGACTGGCCCAACGTCGGCCCGTCCACGTCTCACGGTCTCCTCCAGCCTCCTCTTGGTGTCCTCTGCTGGGTTGCAAGCCGTTTCGTCCACATTTACCTCGGGGGTAGGTATGGAGCACAGCTACGTGGGTGTATGTCCTCTTAGTCGTAGCTTACATTCTTGGACAATAGGAAGCCCTTACTCAACCATCCTTTTTATGTCAGTATATCCCATTGATGCCATTTTTTCACTTTTTTCTATTTTTTACTACTATACCACTGGGCCCACCCACTGTCCCTGCATGTCTCTGGGGGATCGCAGGTGGTCACTCAGAGCTGACGGAGCCCATGGGAGGTGCCCCACCGTGCAGATTGCTGCCGCCCTCTCTAAGCTGCTGGAGCTCGGTCACGGGGCACAGACTCATCTCCTCCT